CTCTGTCCTGGACATGGACACTGGCCATGGTGAAGCCTCGAGACCGGGCGATGCCATGCAAAGCCACGGCCACATTAGAGCCCGCTGAGAAAAGGCCAAGGAGGGCAGGTCAGTCCTGGAGGGGACCCCATCAGCTGCCCGTGCTAGAGTCGGAGTGCAGAAGCCCATGAGGGGCCTGGCAGGGACCCAGGACTTGGCCAGGGGCTGGGCTGGACCAGCTCTGCACCATGGACAGAACCCCCGCCGCGGACTTCATAGTCACCCCAGAACAAACACTGAAGTCCATGCTGACAAAGGCAGGGGCCAGTAGAGGAAACGCCCGGAATAACTAAAGCAGAATCAGCCCACGTGGACAGCAAATCAGGAAACGGAAAGCCAGCTCCCCTCCCGCCTTGGAAGCGCTTCAACTTTGTTTCCTGATTCAAGGAAAACATCCCGTTTCTCATCCCCTCCCTCCTCGCTCAGCCCGAAAACCTGGCCGGTTCTAGGTTTCTGTGGTTGCAAGTCCAGAGGTTGGGATTTCAGGATGAAGACGGGGAGTGGGGGGCGGGGGGGAGCTGGCTCACCAGCGCTCAGGAGAAAACAGAGCCTGCACAGTGGAGCAGGCCCCCATGAGAGCACCCCTTCCTTGGATTCAACCCTGCACCCCCACTCAGGCCCCGTCCACATAAATCACCACTGTCTTGCCACCAGGACTGGCCCGATGACCCAGGCTCCCCGCAGGGAGGGGAAGGAGCCAGCTGTGCTCCAGATTGGGGTGCGGGGAGGGAGCCCCATGGCGCAGGAAGAAGCTGGGAGACAGACGGGCCCCTGCGTGAACCACACCCTCTGAGACAGAAGCCCCTTTACCAGCAGCTCAGACCCCCCCTTTATGTCATGAGCCCCTCACATGTGAGTCGTGCCGGGCACACACCCCCATTCACTTCCCTGTATGTTTTCTTTAAGGATTTATTTTTTTGCATGCAAGAACTGGGGTGCAGGTCAGCAGTCTGGGGGAGGGAGGATGAGGGGACTCCCCCGAGACAGAGCGGGGAGCAGAACAGGTGGATCGAATGAAATCCACTGCTGAGGGGAGCAGCGGGGAGACAGGAGGGGTCTGCTGCGCCCGGTGGGTCCCTCCCTGGCCGGGGATCGAACGCTCGCCTTAGTGGTGACAGGCTGAGACTCACCCCGAGGCCCCCACAGAGGGCCTTTCCCTGTGTGTTTTGCGTCTTGGGACACACCTGTGAACCCCAACCAGGGAGACTGTGGGCTGTGAGGTACATGCTGGTCGGCGATCACCCCCTCGTGGCCCAATTCTGCTGCAGATACACCGGAACAGGTAGAAAGACACTTCTGGGAGCTGACAATGAACCTGCTTAACAGGGTCACTATGTCCCAAGGACATGGGTACCCACTGCCCTCCTGGGGGGGCTGCTGACTGGACCAGTGTGGCCGCTAAGTGTGTGACTGGGGTCGCAGCAGAACGGTCCGGATACAAAGAGACAGAGAGGGAGCCTCGCCTGCTAACCGCAGCTCAGCTGTGGGTCCTGGGGTGCAGGGGGCCCCCGCAGGCGGGGTGCGGGCGGGGTGCAGGCCTCCGCAGGTGCATCCATGGGAACTGGAGCTGCCGGGTCTTCCCCAGCAAGGTGGGCGTGGCCCTCACACCTGACTCAGCGGAAAGTTTGGGGCTCACACCCCACCGTGCCCTGCGGAGTCACAGGCCTATCAGTTTCCCCCTCTATCCGCCGGAGGTGAACCCAAAAGGGGGACACACTTTGGAAACACATTTTTGAAAGGCCCGTTGGCTGCACAGGGTCGCGAGGGGCGGCCCGGCGTGGGGACCAGCCGCCCAGAGCCTGGCCAAGGGTGGGCGTGAACAAACCCCCCAGGATGCATGAACACACACCCCCAGGCAGAGTGGCAGCCGCAGAGGGAGGGCAGGAGAGCAGCTCAACTGCCCTTGAACCAGCAAGGCGTGACGCCCCACTTCCGGCATCCCAGTGAAAGACTGGGGTGCTGTGAACCCCCAGTAGCCCCAAGTAAACACGGACCCACTGGGCAGATGTGGACGGGCCAGGCCATGCGCCCCAGGACGGCCCTGTTGAAATCTGTGTTGGGAGAACCACTGTCCTGCCCCCAAAGGGTTTTGAAGGGAACTGCACTGCGAAAACAAACCTGCAAACAGAGAGACAAAACTTCTGGGGGGCATGGGGGGCAGGGCCTGGCAGTGGAGAAGCCCTTGGGGGAGGGCAGCGTGAAGTCACCCCAAAAGCAACAGAGCCCCGCTGTCCGCAGGCTCGGGAGACGCCCTCGCGGGGGTGTTTGGAGTAGCTGAGCGTCCCTGAGCCCAGTGGGTCTGTGTTTACTTGGGGCTACTGGGGGTTCCCAGCACCCCAGTCTTTCACTGGGATGCCGGAAGTGGGGTGTCCACGCCTTGCTGGTTCAAGGGCAGTTTAGCTGCTCTGGGTTCTCTCACCAAAGGCTTTATCAGTGTGGAATTTGGGCTGCATGCTTTCTCTCTCTCTTTTTTTTTTTTGAAGATTTATTTGTGCATACAGAACTGGGGTACAGGCCAAAGGGGCAGGGGTGGCGAGAGGCCTCACCAGAGACAGAGCGGGGAGCAGGACAGGCAGATGGACGAAGTCCACTGCTGAGGGGAGCAGCGGGCGGGTCAGGAGAGGTCTGCCGCGCCCTGGGGGTCCCCTCTGGGGCTGGCGGGGATCGAACTCGTGCTGACGTGGCTTCAGCTTCTCAGTGCTGTGCTCTGACCTGCTGCGCCCCCAGGGAGGGCCGTGTCTGCTTTATCTTTTAATAAACGAAGACAGATTATTTGAGCTCCAAGGTTGTGACTCGAGTGAGCTGTTTCTAGCTGTGGGGGACAGAGTGAGCCTGCGGGGGCCCTCGCTTTCCAGAACTGGGGGCCGGAGCCCCAAAGAGGAGGAGCAGAGAAGCAGGTGACAAACTCAGTCCTCTGGGACCTGCTGGGAGCAGCTCAGGTTGTGGGGTGATCGTTGGGGAGACTTTGGCTTGGGGGGCTGTGGTGGACAGAAAACCTGGCCTGGAAGGAGGGGAGCAGCGAGGCCCTCTGGAGAGCAGCATGCTCAGATACCTGCCCCCCAGGAGCCCAAGAGGGTGATTAGGAAGCAGGTTGCGAGGGCAGGAAGCAGGGGCCGAGGGAGGCAGTCTCCGGAGCACTCCCGCCCCCACCGCAGGTCAACTTGAGGCCCAAAGGCAGTGACCCAGGAAGTGACCCACTGGAGTCAGAGGTGCTGACGGCGATGACTCTGGACCAGCGCTCCTGGATTGGGGTCCACCCTGTTGAGACCCAGCGGGGTGATCCTGGGGGCACCCCCTCCCTCTCAGCAGCTGGGCCTGTGAAATGAGGGGGTATTCCAGGAGATCCTGAGCGCCCCAGAGCTTGGTTCGAGGCCCCTGGGGAGCTGTGGCTCGCACCCACCAAGTTTTAGCTCCAGGACCTTCAAGAGGGGGTCCAGGCGCTGGAACCCCGCAACTTCAAATCTGAATCTGAATATGGACACAGCCGAGTGTGAGGCCGCCGGGCTCGCTGGACTCTGGGCGTCAACCCCCTTGTGGGAAAGGAGAGAAGGTGGTTGCGGCAGAACTGAGCAGAAGTCAGACAGTTGGTGTCCACACCCCTCAGGGGCACGACCTGAGGCCCGGCTGGACAGGCTCTGGCCGCCAAGTTCCAGCCAGATGTGCTTGTCCGACTAGTGGGCAGGGTGTTTGCTGAGCACCTGCTACGTGTCTCTGTGCTCGGCGGTGGGGGTGCTCCTGCCCGAAGACCCCCTGTCACGGTCAGGCCAGGGGCGACACAGGGCAGAAGGCCCTGCTGAGCTCCTCAGAGTCCCCCAGACCGGCCCTGGTCGCCCGGTCCCGTGTCCTTTCCTCCTTCCCCTCCATCAGCTGTGGGGTCAGCCATTTGCACTTAGCAATTCACCTGCTCACGGACCCCAAATCCCTGCCCCCCATCTCCACCACAGCTTCCCAGCTCAGCTTCGGCGTGGGGCCGTCAGGGACTGGCGGCCTGGAGTGGACGTGTGGCCGCAGAGGGCTCAGCTCTGGCCTCCCCCGGGAGCCAGACGCCGTCACCTGTCCCTCCGTGAGCTGGGCGTGAGGTGCGCCCGGCCGCCGCCTCGGGCCTGTCTCCCAGCGGGGTAGGCGCAGGCTGGACGGTGCAGTGAGGGCGAGAAGCAGACGGAGGAGCAAAGAGGGTGGGTGCAGAGCTGGGCTCGAAGGGGGGGTCAGGTGTCCCCATCCAGCCCCAGCCCGGCAGCCAGCCTCTCTCCCTCGGCTTCCTCTGACCTTCTCCGCTTACTCCCCTCCGGTCCTGGCGCCTCTATTGAGTCCTGGGCTGGGGGGAGGCGGGGACTGCTTGTTTGTCCATTGAGAGCTTAGGTGGAGAGGTGACCAGAACGTCCAGTGACAAAGGCTGTTGTGTGGGGGGAGGGGAGAGCAGGCAGAGGCACCTCCAGGAAGGAGACATCTAGGGGCCATCTCGGGGAGGGCCTGCCCCAGACCTGGCCCCCTAGGAACTTACCAGAAAGGCAGATTCTCAGTCCCACCGCAAACCTGCTGAGTCAGAAGCCTGCCGAGAAGGTGGCGCGGTAACTGCCCAAAGGCACCGGGCTGGCAGCGCTGGACAAAGTTGTGTGGACAAGACCCTGGACCGGCTCAGGCCACGCTGCAGCAGGAGGGACGTGCACTGCCACCCAGTGGCCGCAGAGTGAACAACAGCCCAGCGGCTCCGGGGACCAATTAGGGCTGCAGTTAGTTCTGCGGTGAGGATGGCGTCCACCCCTGACCGGGCCCCAGGGACAGCTGTCAGCCCCGGGGTCCCGGGAGTGGCCGGCCTGCCGCTCTGGGAGACTCGGGACCCCAGCTGGGACCCAGGGCGCCCCTGGCTCTGCTGTTCCTGGACTCTTAGAAACTTGGGGTCCCCCGGGGGTGCTGGAGACCCTCTCCAGCCCGCATGGTGCACAGTGCAGCTGTGATGCCGGAGTCCAGCAGGCAGATGAGCTTTCCGCCCCGTCTCCTGACCCTGGACACAGCGGCACACGAGG